TTCTTCTTTGTTCCCCTTCCAGCCAAGTTTGCAGATTGCAGCGAATGCTTTCGATCTCTGGCACTGACCCAATGTACTGAGCTGAGATACTGTAAGCTCAAGGGGGGAAATAGAGAAATGTTTATAAGCGCCTCTGACATATCGCCTCACAGTGAAGAGCCCAGATAGAGGACGCTTCAGTGGAGATGGATGAGAGCGCAGTAACAAACCACAATGATGACTCGCTCCTCTGCCTTTATCATATCACAGTTTGTTTTTTGTCTTTTGCTCCGGGGGATTGTTTGTGCTTAATTGTCACTTGTGTCATATCGAGTTACTGATCCTGTTTTTCTAGAGAAAGACTTCCAGACTTTAGTTAAAATGTAATCACAGCTTTAAGGTCGAGGAGTGTTTCTGTGGTCAGCTAGCTCAAGGCAGTGTGTGCGTGTCTGTGTGTGTGTGTGTGTGTTAGTGTGTGTGTGTGTTAGTGTGTGTGTGTCTGTGTGTGTGTGTGTGTGTCTGTGTGTGTGTGTGTGTGTGTTTGTGTGTGTGTGTGTGTGTGAATGGATTGCATGGGTGTACTGATGTTAGTCAATCTTTTGACCACAGAAGGAGAAGGTACAGTCTCAAACAGAAGATATTTGCAGGTCCATGTATAACTTGTACATATCTTTCTTATGTAAATGTAAATTTGTCTGTGTTATTTTGTAAATACTAACGCTATTGTTTATTTCACACACATGGAGAGATGCCAAACTGCCTTTCATTGTTCTTGTAACAGTGACAATAAAGAGCTATTCTATTCTATTCTATTCTATTCTATTAATGGGTAAATTGAAATAAAACAGCACAGGAGACAAAAATGAACAAAAAAGTTAGAAATCCTAACTGTAAACCGATAAAACAGTCTCCACACTCAGATAAGTGTCTCCGGTTACAGAGTTAAAGCACTATAAAGCAAGCACATAGATCTGAAGCAGAACACAAAACCCTCTAAGGTACATTCAGTGTTAACCAGATTACCAAACAACAACGCTACAAACAAGGAGACACGGGGCAAACTCCTCACTTTAAATCACTGCTATCTCAAATGACAAACTGGCAGCTCTTTTGAGCCAGCCGCTGTAATTAGTGTTAGAGCCTTGGACTGGGACACCTGCCCAAGAAGCAGAGGAAGCTGGGATGAAGAACAAGTACACTGTACGCACTAATTGGCCTACAACAAAGAGTGGACAACAAGGAGGAGGAACATGGTCATATGGCTGTAACAGCTTGAAATACTTAAATATGTCAACAGCTATAAATTTTGGACAAACATTAATGAGCATCAGGGGACCAGTTCTGCTGACTTTAGTGATCCCCTGGCCTGTTCTCTGACACCACTATGAATTATCTATACTGGCATTTTTTTAAAGTCCAAGTCTAGCTGTAGCTGGATTTCCATTAAATGTAAATCCTATTAAAGACTAAAGACAGACCAAAACCTCACACACATCACTTCCTTTAAGTCAGCTACTAAACGCACATGGCCTGCTACATCATGGCAATCATAAACGTTTAGCAAAGATAGTACTTATTTGTCACCTTCTTGAACTCCTACTTAAAATTAGTTTTTCCACAGACCTGGGTCAGTTTTATTAAAGTTACCTTTTTTTGGTTTGAGCTAAAGCTGCTACAACATGCAGGGGAGAGAGACGTTAAAGAGGAGGAAAAGCTCTTCTTCTTCTTGAAATTGAACCTAAAACCAGTCTGTGGCTGCTTGATTATGACCAAAATCATAATTACTTTTTCAGTACTGATGATTTAATGCACTTTTATTTTCCATTTTTATTTAAGTGGATTTCTATGAACTTTTACTATAATTGAAGTGAATAAATGTGTCCGATCAAATGTACAGAAAAGTGATGTACTGGAAGCAAAACAAGATGATTATTTTAAAACAGAATCTGACATAGTAACTATGTGATTTTGATCATCTCATTTTAGTAATTGGTAGAAACCAAAATAGAAATTGAAACAAAATTTTAGTTAATTGCACAGCCATAGAGCAGTTTTACAGGATCATTAGCATAATGTCTTATTAGCATCTTATTATTGCCAGGACAGTAAATGGTAATGCATGATGTCAAAATCCATGTAATAAATATTAGTTCATATCTATTGCATGTATTAAGATATACTATGTGCTAATAAGGTTGTATAAACAGTAATAGTAGTATTATAAACATTAGATTAAGCATTTACCAACACAACTGTTTAAGAAGCTTATTAGAGTTTCTTATAATGTAAATAAACCTCACACACTAATGTAACGTCACATTAATGGCTCTTTTTCCACAGTTAAACTTTTATTACTATTATTCGTTGCTTTATAGAATTAATAAACACTTTTTTCTTGTTTTTAATTAGACATGAACTAGGCTTATTTGCAGCTGAAGTATCTAAAATATAAACAAGTTAATCGAATGTTTCATTGCACACTTGTTAACAGTTTAATTAAATAAAGGGGCCTTAATATTTAAGCTTTAGCTGCAATGTGAAGTGTTCCTAAATTAATACTTTTACACTGAAAATCAAAAGAGAACAACACAACGTAGAATCTTGTACAACAATAATTTGAGTCAAAACGAGGTGATAAAGTTGGATTTTTGGCCAAACAAAAGCTGGACAGTCCTGTTCAACTTCAGTGGTTTACGAAATCAAATGAGAGGCTTCATCCCACGCCTGAGTATGTCTTTGATTATAAAGTGACTTATTTCTCTCATTGCACAGCTCTGCAGCTGTCAGCAAAAACAGGGTGAGTGTGTGGGGAATAAACAATGAAAATCTCAAAGACATCAGCACTTGTCAAGCTACATGCACTACATTTCTTCTCCCAGTAAGGCATGGCAAAGAATAAAAAGTGGGTGTCTAGTGTCAGTGAAAGCTTTTTCCCCCTTTTCTTTCTCTAATTTCTTCCTCTGCACTTTTTTCCAATTCTATTGATGGACTTTGGCCCAAGTAAACAAAGGCTCTTTAGCACCCAAACACAGTTCAATGTGCTGAATTATTGACTTGGTTTTTCAAAGAGGCAACGCAGAGCTTTGTTTCTCACGGCAGGGAGAGAAGCAGAGGACGGGTGTCTCACGGTTTTTCATGTGGAAACCCATGGAACCCATTTCTGTCCTCTCCCTCTCATTCTCCCTTGAGCAGAGGATCACTGCACTGTCAAATTATTGGATGGCTGCATGTATTTTTGGACAGCTTTAAAGGTCAATCTCATGCACAACAGTTTGCTTGTGTTATTTTTATCCCCAGCAATACACAGCGTCAACCAATTTCTAATTCATCACTGCAAGGCATCAGATATGGAGAAGATATAGCAAAAAAATCCATAGTATGTTGATGTTTCTCTAGTAAAGGTGAAGACTTGCAAGATTTACTGTCAGTTATATATGAAACATTAATATCTATTATTTAAGTAAGTAAGGCTATGTGAAATTCATAGCTGATCCTTAAGAGATCACTGATACTTCTGAGTTATTAGAAACATTAAGCAATGGACTAGGAGGTTTTAGCAGCTGTATACCAGCTATATACAGTACCACAGTTCATCTCTACTAATTGTATGTCAGTAGCATTAGAAATATTTATGCTACAGCAGGACTATCGAACTGAGGCCAAAATATGACGTTAGAATTGCATTAAGTTCTTATTAAGTTCTTCATCATGTCTGGTCAGTCTGGTCTGCGTTCCCAGAAAAACTTCCAGCAAACCAGCAAAAATTCAGCAAATTGTCTCACCATTAATCGTTTCAGTAAACCACAACAAATATTGGTAGTATGGCAGATAATCTTGAATTTGCTTTTTGTTTTTTAAGTGTATTTTATAATGGCCTGAACATGACACTATAACTGTTGTGGCTCACATTAGGTCTTTAGGGTTCACAGGTCTAGAGACCAGTCTGCAACCGGTTTCTGGTTTCAACTTGTTGCTGGAGGTTGCAATGAAATATATAGCGCTGCACCAAAATCTCCTTGTGAATGCTTTATTTGTTAGCAGATCGTCATGGTTGTAGTTTACATGGAAGCCAGGCCCTAACTGATCCTCTCAGACAGTGTTTTCCCCCAAAACGTGCTCTCACTAAGGCAGTACATAGCTTTAACTAAAGTCCTGCCTTAAGGCGGAATTACAATTCTCTGTCAAGGTGTTGTGTGGTTACCCTTCAGGTATATACAGAGATCAGCTTTAACCCTATGAACTGCCAGTGCAAACAGGAAGTGGAGAATGCTCGCCTTCAAAGCAAAAGTTTTGTCCTTTCAAATGTGTTGATTGCAGCATTAAGGTGAATCTTTTATTTTGCAGCTGGATAGTAGAGTTCGGTTTGCGGCACTCGGAACTGGCAAGTAACTGGCAAGGGTTTGGCCATCTTATAAACGTGAAGTATTTGCCAGCTTTGGAAAATTAAGCCCGCATATTTTTATCACAGTCCTGGGTATTTTTTTTTTCTTTGGTTAAAAGGCAAAAAGGCATTTAAGGACAAACCCTGTGAGGACTCCTCATCCAACTCGACTTCTCAAAATTGTGAGATTGATTGATTTAGGGTGATGGTTGAACATTATAGTGGATGCTTCAAACACCTTGTCTATAACACCAAGTTTGCACTAAGTACCAGCTGTTCTTCATAAAGACTTCATTGGACTTGATTGTAAAAATATTGTATGAGAAGTTCTTTCTCTCCTTGAACCGTGTTGGGAGCTTCATCCTCAAAACGTCAATATCACCTTTCCTTTTCATCTTACAGATTTATTCTTCCGCTCTCATGTTTCTTTACTTTATCCTCATGCTTTGATGTTCTGCTGCTAGCTCCCGTATTAATATTTTAACACAATATGCCCAGCATAGCAGTCCTAGAATGTTAGCTGAATACTGCTGTTAATTGTCTAGTCAGGTGTAAAAAAAACAAAAACCATATCAACATTGTATTAAATCTTTATTATGATCCTGTACATTATCTAATGTGTTTCTTCCCTCTGTTGCAGGTTATCTATGCACTGAACACGAAAAATGATGAACACGAGGCAGCCATCGCTACTCTGAAGGAGGCTCATGAAGAGGAGGTGCAGCAGATTCTTTCTGAGACCAGGGAGAAGATACTCCAGGTTTGTGTGTGTATTTGTCTTCCTTTAAATTTATTAGGTTCTTTACCACAAACACTCTGTTGCTTGACTCCTATGTTTCAATTTGATCGACTGAAATCAGTGAAGTTCTCCTTCTGTGTGCACTTTAAAGATAGATAGGAGCAGATGATGATGATGGACACACACATTACATAAGAAGATGTTACACACCGTTGTCGGAGTATGGGCACAACACAATACAATCTATAAGAAACTGACATATTTATTAAATATTTAATAAATATAAAACATGTATTAAATTATAGCATTTCAGTCCACACAACGTTCAGCTGGTACATTGACAGGATGCACTTCAAAACTGCACAAGACCAGTTTGACCAGAGGCATCATACCTTTCTGCAGTCCTGTGAAACTAAGTACACTCTAGAGCAGGGCGATATAACCAAAAATATTTATCGCGATATACATTTGAAAATTTGCGATAACGATATAACTGACGATATAATTGACACTAGACAAAATACTTTACAACTCCTCAACTTTATTAGTGCAAAAAAAACCCCATCAATGTATTTTCACTTAAACAAGCAGCTTTTTTATGTGCATTAAAGTTATATAAAAAATGTAACAGTGCAAATGCAAATTCCTTGCTGACAGTTTAACCAAAAGGCATTTCCAGTGGAAATTGGCTGACATATGATCAGCATAACCATGTATAATATCCACAAAACTTATACACACACACAATATGGTAATATTATGTTGAAGCGCAGTACGTATCACTCCGCGAGGCTCCTGCCTACGGTAACCGTAATGCTCTGACAATCCATCAAGCGGTGCGGCTTCATAGCTTAGCAAAGTTGTACTGAAACATTTGACAGATTTTCGAGCACCGTGTACGACATAAAATCATTTCGAGGTCAGTAAACACAACCAGAATTCATACATAAGGCACACGGGATTATAAGGGGCACTGTCGATTTTCAGAAAAATCAAAGGATTGAATTTAAGTGTGCTGTATTTTCCAAAAAACACGGTAATAACAACGGCCCGCTAGCATGCTCTACCAAAAGTAGTGCTTTGTTGTGTATCTGACGGACGAAAGCTAAACCAGTTCCACACCACTGAAGTTGCAGCATTTTTACAAACCAATTCTGGTTCATCCTTTTCATTCAACGATCCACTTTCGCTCTTCTCATTCTGCATCGCCGCCATGTGTGTATGTAAACAAAGGCACTGCGCATGTGCGTTTTAGCCATATTCTATCGGCATATTTCATTTTCCTATCGTTGCCCAACATTACACCGGTATTACCAAGAACGGTATGATATAGCCCAGCCCTAGTACACTCCATGATTCACTGGCTTGTAGAACCAGCTTTGGCAGCAATAACTATAATAGCTCAACTTGGAAATCTAGGCTCACTCTTTTTTTACTATTTTTCAGTTCATTGAGGTTTATGGGCTCTCATTTATGGACAGCTCTCTTAAGGTCCTGTTATGGCATTTCAGTCAGCGTTAGACTTCGACTGTGCCCTTGTTGCACCTTCATTCTTTTCTGTTTCAGCCACTCTGTCCCAGGTCCTGTTGCTGCAAAACAAGCCTATATCATCAACCCTGCACCACTGTGCTGACAGTGAAGTGTCTGTGGTGATAAGCTGTGCTTTGTTTGTGTGGTTTGCTCAGGTAGAACTGTGCACACCTAAGCCATGGTGCCATATTCCTTTTATACAGAACAGACTTTCTCCTGGCAGCCCTTCCAAACTAATCATACATATTCATCTTTGTGTAGTGGTTAACACATTGACCTAATGTGCAAGAGATCCCTGGTTTAAGACTTGGAGAAGATGCAAATGATTTAGAGTTGTGTCACAAAGGGCATCAAGCATAAGAATTTGTGCCAAATCAAATATGCGGATCCTTCTTCTGCGGAAATGCGTTGCTAATAAGGGAGCATCTGAAAGAAGCACAGGCCTCAGTTAGCATGATAAATGTTGATTGAGATGTAGAGCTATTTGTCAGATGTGGAGTCTGAGATGTAGCTCTTGGGTTTTTTGGGTTTTTTTTTTTTGCAATTTCTCTGATTAGTGGTGTTACAGAGGTGCTCACACTTGTTGATGATTAATTAATCAAGTGTTTGATTAGCATCTCCTGGCTGCTACTTACCCACTTAATTCCTATGGAAGCAGTAAGGGTGTACTTGGTTTTAGAGAATTATGAAACGCTAAAGATGGCGATCTCATCCCCAAAGAGCCAAACAACATTCGAAACAGGAAATGGTTAAATCAATCATGTCATTGCACAGATGCATGCGCACATTAGAGTTTCACAACCATTTCAAAAGTCACGATATGTACGTATGCATAGCAGAAGTACAGCTTTAGGGGGGAAAATCTTTTTAAAGCTTTTCTTGGAGTTTTTTTGAGCACTTTCCAATGGATTTGAATGATTATTCCTTTCATCCAGTATCTCAGTGACCATTACACTAAAATTCAATTATTCAATTCAAAATTACTCCCAAGTTGTGAGATAAGAAATATATAATGCTGAACAATCAGGTCTATAATTGGACAGTGAGGATGTAAATATAGTACATGTAGTAGTAGTAAAGCTGTACATACATTTAGTTTTCAGACAGAGGAGATGTTTGAGTTGGGGCTTTAGTAAAAGCTGCAGTTCAGTCCGTTTGTTTGTGGATTGTTTGAAAATGTCTGCCTGATGGTAGGAGCTTAAACAAATTGTGTCCAGGGTCTGCAATGTCTTTGATGATTTGCTTGGTCCTCTTCACACAGCCAGTGATCTAGAGATGTTGTTTCTGTGCCAACAATATTTCGTGCTGTTTTCATGACATGTTGGGGGGCTTTTGCTCCTGTCCACAATACAAGGAAGTGGTTTAAGAGCAAAACTGCTGATATATCAAATGTTACAGTGTTGTCCATTCACATTAAGTTCATATTATGAATCAAGTAGAAGCTTACAAGTCATCAGGCTTTTAGATCTAGGAGTCTCCTTGCCAATGGTTTTTGAATAACCCACTATTGTATACTCATACTATACTCATAGGATCAGAAACTCAGACCCTTTAAAACAAAAAAGCCAGTCCAGACTTCCTGTACAGGGGTAACTGGGATCTAACACAGTGTTTGGCTTTTTAGTAACATGCAGATAAAATAAAAGAGAGAAGACGGCGTTGTGGGAATCTCGTTAGACCAGGTTCATCCATGCAGAAAGGAGTTTCAGGAGTCTCAGGACCACTGCTGAGACATGTATTGTAGCAAGCACTCAGTATCCAGGAGAACAAAGATGTCTGCATGTGCTGATATAATGTAATGCAACCCAGGGCGAAGTCGTACTGAATCTAAACGTCTACATCTGACTCAACTTCTTTACTGGTAAGATAAAAGGAGGAGGATGAATATTATGTAAGCAAAGCCTATTTTTGAAATTTAGATAATAGAAATGTATCACAGGTGTAAAGAGAAGCTGTTCTCATAGGCCTTGGTTCATTTTGACCTAAAAGATAAGATTAAGATAAGATCTACTTTATTTATCATAAAAGGTGGGAAAGTCCTTTGTTACAGCAATTAAAAATGAAACAAAGCGTAATAAGATTAGACGCAATGATATAATAAATATGATAACAATAACAACAGTAATAATAATAGGCGGACAAAAGGCTGAAGAGGAACTAAAGTCAACTTTATAATAGATTTCAACAGAAAACAGACATCATTATAAAATCACATACAGCTGATGATGTAGCTAAAATACATCAGGAGCGCTGCACTGTGATCACCGGTGAGCTCAGACCACATTTGAAATGAAGTCATCAATTATGAATCATGTGAATATTAATTATTTAGGTCTATATGTCACGTCATTACTCTTGATGACAATGCCTCAATGACGATGCTTCGCTGTGAGTAATGTGACCAACCTCGATCAGCTGAACTTGAATACGCAGACATCGCCTCACTCTGCTTCTCTAATAAGTTTCCCTGGAGGCAGTGTTTACTGGTGTGCTTTGAATGCAAATTTAATTAATTTAGCCGAATTGGATGTACCTATTTAATCTTTTAATTTTCACTTTCATTTGTTGTCATAATGAGGAAAATCAAAGCCTAATTTAAATTCTGTGCGCATCAGCCAATCTTTTAAAGTAATTTTAATTAAAGCTGAAATCCAGGATGTTTATTTACCGGTGTTTGCATGCATTTATGTCCCATAATATCTCAAAATATCAAGTTTTGGAGGATATGAAGTGCACGACATATTGTGTCTTGTCAATTACAGAGTAAGCATCTCTGCACATGCTGTCATTAAAAGGCTAGATTTGGATGATAGCGAGCACTGAACTTTAAATGTTTGTCACAGTACAAGAGCAAGATCAGCGATGAGATGGACCTGAAGAAGCGGATCCAGTCTCTGGAGGAGTCAATGGAACTCCACGAGAGGATGAAGAGGCAGGCCCTGGCCGAGTTCGAGAGCTACCGTCAGAGGGTGGAAGACATGCAGCTCTGCACTGAGGCTCAGGTAAATGGAGGAGTGATGTGATGTCTGTGTGTGCCGGAGGCAAGAGGCACCTGTGTCTGCACTCACAGCTGCAGGTAATCGCTATTAAGTCTGTTTCTCTGTCCTGCTGTGAAGTGGAGAGTCTCTCTTTGTCTGCATCAACTGCCTCAGATTGCTGTGAGCGGTCAGGGTTCATTCAGGCCATTTTCATTTCTTTTTTCAAGGATTCTGTAAATAGAGTCCAGATATTATTCAATACATTTTTAAATTTAGTCACGTATATCCACGAGTTAATCCAGCTACATGATGACTAGAATGAGCTCTGTTTACCTGGAAACACCAACGTAATGTCATCACTTAACAGATTTTCTTGTACATTTTAGTAGGTTTCTTTAAAACAAGTCAACCAGAAGAAACTCCCCCATAAGAATGTGAGATGATGATTTATTGAGAATGATTTGGCCCACTATAACTCCATTTTTGATTTTACTAAGATGTGAGCAGGGCCTTGCAGAGAAACAGGAAACAAGGAGGCCTGGGTCATCTAGTTAAAAGAGGAGTTGTGCTCATGGTGGGACAAAGGAAAAGTTGGATCAAAGAGAGGGAGAGACATAAAAGAGAGAACTTGGCTTGGTCCAACCTTTGACTGTGTTGCCACAGGAAAGGCCAAGAACCCATCAGAGCGAAGCGCATGGGGGAAATCAGAAAATGCAGCTTTGAATATTAGCCTAGGAAATGGGAGGCTTCAGGCTCTTGACGATTGCCTTAAGCCTTAACCCTTTAAGACCTACCATAGAACCAAGTCCGCCAGAGCTTATATTATATTTTTACATGTTGTAGTGCCATTTCTGGGAGCATTTCAAGTTGATATACATCAATACAACCATTATAGCCCAAATTTTAATAATATGTATGCATTAAGTGCATAGTAATTACATAAATTGCAAAAAAGTGCAATAAACTACAAAAAATTTGAAAATTGTTTTTGTTTTTTTAACATATATTTCTAGTTAGCGAAATTTAAGAGGCTTATCTCTCAAAACTGTAAATACAAAAAAGTTGCACAATAGTTTCCCACCACAGGAAATTTATTTTAAGTGTCTTCATAGTTTTATTTTTGAAATACACCAATTTTTATATACTGCAGGAAAAATGAAAATAAATATTATAGTGCAAATTTGCAAAAAAACAGCATATGCATCAAAATAAACTATTTCCAGCAGTGCAATATGAGTCCTAAGCATCCCAGAAACGACACAGAAAGTCATAAAGTCAAACATAACTTTTAAAAACACAAGTATAGGCTCATAAGGCCCTGATGGTAAAAAACTACATTTCTGCAAAATAACGTCACTTCCGGTTTCGGGCAGGTCATGGCGGACATGCGATAGTTCGCGCTGATGGATGTAGGAAGTGTTACAAACAGCTGATCAGATCAGCAAAGCCTGTTTCTGGAATATTGTGTTTTTGTTGCTGCAAGTGCTTTTTATGCAGTTTTTGCAAAGCTATATGTGGAAGGAAACCATGACCTAGGACAAGCTGATGGCATAAGATGTAAGTACAACTCCTCCGGTTTCATATGCAAAAAAATTATTGCGCTAGCTTACGTGGTTGCAGTGCTACCAGGATTTTTAAAAAGTTACGCAAAACAGAGCGTGTCAGCTCCGACCGGCTTTAAAGGGTTAATATACGAAAATACATGGAAAGCAGCAGAGGAAGGATTTATATTCTTTACTTTAGTGAAGGCAGCAATACTACAAAATACAAATACTCTTAGATGTGGCTTAGTGTCCAGAACCAGCATTCTTTGTAATGTCGTGCAATGGGCACATGTTGAGTTGATGGAAAAAAAAGCCCTCGGCTTACTCAATCTACAACATGAGTTTATGGTCTCGTTAGATGAATAAAACATGAAGTTCATTTTGTAAATTAGGATCCTCATCACAGTGAAAAAAGGAGGGTAGAGTTTGCTGCAGCTCAGGTATATACAATGTTTCTCAGTTATCAAAGCCCTGCCTAATATCTCCCATTTTAAAACACCAAGATGGTGAGGGCAAAGCAATTCAGCAGGACCTCACTAACCAGTGGGTGATGCCACAGTGGGTGCACAGTGCATCCATCTTTTATATACAGTTATATGAGTAAAAATACAGACGAATTAGTGCCAACTTTTTTGGACACAGCCTTAAATAGAGGCTTGCAACTAAAATTTAAATATAAAAACAGATGATTACAATGACCAGAGATCACAGACATGCTGTAAGCACTCAGTGTACCTTTTCTATAGTCCTTCATTTTCAGATTCAGAAGCTGGCAATGTCTGTTCTGTAAATTAAACTCGAGGAACAACTGGTGTTATTCTGGTACTATTCCAAAGTAGATCTGTCTGTTAGGATTACAGTAACAATAGACAGACCACAGACTGTTTGACACAATAACAGCTGGGAGAAGTAAACATTGCATTGAAGTCTTAGAGAGACACATGCACTTCATGTCATACATCTTCTTCACATCTGCCTGGATTGCAAGCCAAATGCAGGATGTATTGAACAGCTGGATCTGGCTGCCTCTCGGATGCAATCACATCTAGTTTCTTCGATATCCAATAACAATCCAGTCCTGCTAAGACACATAAAGAGATATAATTTAAATTTGTTTTTTTCCACACCTCGTGTAAGTAGCAGAGGAGTACCTCTCTTATTGCTATGCTGTAAATTGCCTCTGCTTTGTTGTTTATGAGTTTATGAGCGAGCCAGTGTGTATGAAATCATCCCCATGTATATGCTTGTATATGACCTGGGAGGACAGTGAAGCGTGTAACTAATCTCTAACAATAGCTGACCAAATGAACATCATTATATAGATTTATGGAGTGTGTGCAGCTCTCTGATAAAAAGATGCAAAGGCAAGAATAAAGAAAAATTGACTATATGCAGGAATTTATGATTTAGAGCAGGGATGTCAAACAAAGCAGCCTGAACCAGGCCACCAAAGCCCACTGGATGGCTTTGAAAAGTAAGACACTTGTACGGACAGTTATCAGTACAATATACATCATCTCACAACACGTCTCCCTCAGTGTAGACATCTGGACCGTTTGGTAAATGGACTGATACTTGTACAGACAAAAAGAGGATTGAGTAAGTATCATCCACAGAATCAGAGAAACACAAATATAGAACAAGCCTGGAAGGAAAGAAAACTACTGATATGTTTAAAGACTCCAGACCAATGGCTAATGAGGGTTAGAGTTAGAACAGTGTGTCAGGAGTATCATGCCGTGGGGAAGCTTCGCTACATCTGGATCTGGGAATCTCGTCAAGATGGATGGACTTGTGAATAAAGAAGGATGTGTCAGGTTTTTAAAAGGCAGTAAAACAGGTCTGGGTCGTCACTTTTCCAACACAACAACCCAAAACAGACATTGAACTACCTCCAGAACAAAGTGAAAGTTACTTTTGCCTTTTCTAGATCCACTGATTTACAGCACATATGCAATAAGACATACTGTTAAAATGATCTGAGGATGTTCATCATGTGTTTTGGAAATGGATATTTCACCACATGTTATTATGCAGTGGTTTTACTGATCTAGCCCATTAAATAAAATGACATCCCTGATTTAGAATGACGCTCAAAGAAATAAAATGCAAACACCCAAAGGCTGTAGTCTCCACATATTAACCCATATTCATTATTAGCAGCGGTGGGCACCTGTAAGGCCTTATTCTGGTCAAGGGCACAGCGAGGGGAGCATTATCCTAGCATGTTTTGGCGGCAGGAGAAGCCAGGTCTCCTGGAGGAATGATTTGAACCAGGAACCCACTTGCTGTGAGGTTACAGTGCCGCAGAATGAGCCACTGTACTGATGGCAAATATGCAGATGTGTGTCTGTGTTTGTGCTTGTGTTATTATCCCTGAGTGTTTTTTTACCTGATAACTGTCCAAGCTGTCAGTCATGGGTGTCTCCTACTTTTATCTCAGCTGATATGCCACTTCTGTACCTTTTGAGACTAGAAAATCTATGGCTAATAGTTAGTTTGTGCTGATTGTGTAATTATCTACTTTAGAGAATGAAATGCCGTCCAATTAAATGAAAGGTTAGTAAATCTTCCCCTGACAGATGGTTGTTATGTGCCTTAAAGATTTTATCGTAAAATGTTTAGTGTTTTTCTGATCAGGTACCTTAGAGACCACTTTTCTGCTAATCAATATAACATATAATATCAATGGATTGAGACATTGTCAGAATGATAACCTCCTATGTCAATACTAGATGACATTTTTCTTGTTATTTTTGAACAATGACCTTCAGAGCGTTTTCTGCTCACACACTTCTGTTTAGTCTGCTGCTTTTTACTGCTAATTTAGAGCAGCCAGGTCGGCAGCCAGAAGGTCAAAATCCCCCAAGCCAGTACACCACCACCTGGCTTAGACCTTTTGAAAAGTCACGCGCTCTGTAAGAAGCCTACAAAACCCATAAATCAATTCCCCTGTTGGCTCAGCCTTTCATTCCCGTCTTCTTTGGCAGCACACGCAGCGTGTGGTGTCTATGTCGAGGGAGGTGGAGGAGATGCGACGGTCCTTTGAGGAGAAGCTGCGTACATTCAGCCAGGCACAGGCCCAGTTTGAGCAGGAGAAGAAGGCCGCGCTGGAAGAGCTCAAGGCTGAGCACAGACAGGAAATCCAGGAGCTTCTTCGCAGCCACCAGAGCCAGAACGCAAACTACAGCAAAGACCAGGAGAAATTGGTACAGCTCCATAAAGCCGAGGTAACACACTCGCTTCTGCAAAAGTAGAGCAGCTCTTGAAAGCCAAAGCATCAAACTCTAAACCACTACAGGGAAGAAGAAAGAAAGTGGGACAGCGATAATTACCAAGTTTCCAACTCTTTGTTCTACCTTACCTTTCCTTATACAACATTTTAACGTTAGTATAGACTACATGCATCTTATAATGTAATTTATAATTGTCTCTCTACAGCAAAAGCATCAGAGACTTCTGGTTGCTTTTTTCTTTTAAATAAACCGACTCTACTTAATTCGAAATGTGCCGTTTCTTTGTGTCTCCGTGTTGGACGTTCCTGCTGCAGGTTGATTCTCTGACAGAGCGGGTGGAGGAGCTGAAACAGGACAAGAAGAGACTGGTGGAGGAGTACGAGGCCAAACTCAGCAAGGTACAGTACATTAAAAATAATAACCATCATTAATAATTGGTAAACAAAATCGTGAGCAAATATGAGTCATTTATTGGGCATTATATGGGTATTTTATTCACATGCCTTCTGTGTTAGTCCACCCACCCGTGTGTTTTGTTTTGCTTTTACTTCCAGTTCTCCTGATCTCGTTGTGATTGTCTGTCCTTCCCAAACTGTTTACATGTAGTCTTGTCCTTGATGCCATTCAGTCACTTTGTATCGCTCCTCCAAACCCTTTAACTGCTGCTAGGGACAATATACAGTAGTGTTTGTTTTACTTTGGAGATCCAAGTTAGTGGGCCAACTCTAACCAGAACCTGCAGTAGATGGAGAACTGGTACCACTATGTTCTAAGTCTCTTAAGTCTATTGTTATTTACTCTATTTATTATTTATTAATGTTTTCAGGAAAGCGTGGGTGTACTCTCCTTCCCTGCTCTCACTACTGCTACAGTCTAATTCTGTCTAGAGCCAACCCAAAAAACCTAATACTGAGTCCAGATGAAAGGTGCGATCTTTTAAAAGTAAGCCTAAATAAAATAAGGATTCAAGAGGATTCAAGCAGATTTAAAAGGTTTGCCTTGCAGTGTCTCATCTGGCATTTCCAGAATCGATTCACTCCTGGCTGTGCTAAATGTCCGTGGATTAGCAATAGTTAAAAAAAGGCCTGAAAATTGAATTTGTTGGCACTATAACGTTGACGCTGCTGAAAGTGAAGGCTGTTATCTGCAGATCTGTGTACAGGAAAAGCCATAGCAGCACTTAAGGACTGCATTTAGATGCTAGTAATTCAATAAAAAAAAGCATCCTCGTCGGCAGTAAACACTGTCAGGAAAGTAATTTTGGCTCCAGCGCTAAATGTTTTTAGACCTTTCGATATAAAATTAACATTGTCATTAAAAAGAGAAAACTGAGGCTTATTAATTAGTTTTACACCCTTCATGTTTTTGGGTTAAATCTTTTCCGCAGTGGTGAACACTTTCACAAGTCTGCATTTGTCCCCAGGCTCAGGCCTTTTATGAGCGCGAGCTGGAGGCCATGAAGAGAACCCAGCAGCTTACCGCCGACAACCTCTTGGCATGGAAACGCACTGAGGCCGAGCTGCGACGGGAGTTTCAGACTCAGGAGGCGGCGCTGCAGAAAACCCTCGGAAAACTGAGGGCCGAGCTGGCCAGGGTGTCGGACGAGGCTCGGGAAAACCGGGAGAGGTCCTACAAGCTGCAGTCGTCACTTAACACTGCAGAGAGCAACGTCAAAGTGAGTGTGAACCCTCACCTGCTCATCCAAAAATGAGTCAACAGAAGGTGGATGAAGGCGAAGTAGCTGAAAATCCTGTAGTTTTAAGTGAGCTGATGTCTCTTTTTATAGACAGCTTGCAAAGATTTTGTGCCTGTAATCAAAGATAGATATAAATTAAAACAGGGAACAAAGTCCGTGTGAAGAAATTCAATAAAATGTATTCCTTTTTATATGGATAGTCACTTTATAGATTAAATTATGACGAGTAGATGTTCATCAAGCTGTCCAACCTGAGCCTGAGCCTTAATTTAACATTCATAGATTTCAAAAATTATATTTTATTATTATTAATGGGTCAAATAATAGGGGATCTCACCGTTTTAGGGCCTTCAGCTTGATTTTTTTTAATTGAATGCTCCTACAAGAACTGACGATGAGCATAGAAGAGCAATTAGCAACTAAAGCCAGGTATTTCCTTGAAGTATGGAAGTGAAACCTAAACAGGTTGTATTCTGTGCTTGTATACATTTCAACCATTGATTTCAACCAAGTGCAAGGTGGAACTGAACTTTTTCACAGGGTATCAAGGGTTAGGGTGTGGTGAAGGAGGACCCAAAATTGCAGGCATGGAGGCAGTAGGAAGTTTAACTAAAGGCGAGCTCTTTAATGAGCTGATAAGTAAACAAGACATGAGCAAAAATACAAAACCAAACGGGAAACTAAATGCAAGCTGCTTAAACTAACTCGGGCAAAGAAACACTCAAAAACTAAGCCTGGGAAACAGAACAGTAGCATAAATGGACCATAACATGACAAAGCACAAAGGGAAATGAATACTGCATATACACAGGAGGGTGATTAGAAGAAGTGGAGACACATGAGAACACAGCTGGAGCAAAATAGACATAATGAAGAAAGGGAAGCAAGACTGCACATGAGACAATGACTATCAAAATAAGACAGAAAATCACAAACAATGAGATACTGACACAGTCACATGGTAGAGACACAGAGAGAGAATGCCCACCGGGGACGCTACGAAGGACATACACAGGTGAGACTAGGACATGAAAGGGAACTGACTAAATTAACAAAATACTACGAACTAGAAACATAGCTCACTTCTCAAAACAAAATACCACATACAAAAGTCCAAAAAAACACAAACACTGGGAACAGACCCAGGGATCCTAACAGGAGGCTCGCTTTAAATTGGGTGAGGATGTCATTCAGCCATGCTGGGCTGTCTTTACAGAAGGATGGTTCCTTTGTGTCTTGATCTCAAACAGTGAACCACAGGTAAAATGGTTCAGCTACGTGTCGTAAGAGGTCTGGTCTAGGATGTAAGATTGATGGTAGCATGAAGAGAAACTGCAGAGCGGTCCCTGATTCTGTAGGGAAACGAATGTCATCAAACTTGGTGTCCTGCCTGAGTTTAATGCAACCATGTTGCATAGTGTCATGCAGTGAACTTATAAGATTCCCCGGATCATGCAGTGTGCGGGTGCCTTAAAGGATAGCGTTTGTTAAAACATTTAGTTGTTAAGGCAAATAGAAACATTCGCCAAATTAACGCTTCAAGTTGGCTGCTAGTCCAGGTTGTTCAGTCAATCATATACTTTTCATCTCTGTAATATTCTCGATATTTATAATTGAGCTATTTGTATATATTACAGCTATTTCTCATATATTCTAAATTTTGTAATATACTGTATTATTTAATTAGTTCAGTCTGTCACCGTTATTGTCTTAGAGCAACTGTAACCCACATAATTTCCTTAGGGATTATTGAAGCATTCTGATTCTGATTCTGATTAAGTCATTAGGATGATGACATGTCAGTAAGATTGTATTTAAACTTTGTGTCCCTGCTCGTCTTCTCTCTGTAATTTAGAGGAGGAGCAGATCAAAAATGTCGAAGCTGCTGAACAGTAAATTATTAAAAACAGCGCAGTGCGTTTCCACAGCCTACCTGTGTACTGAGAGCAAATGATGCTTAACCGTACAGTCTACAAGTAATTTGTCCCATTATTCTAAAACGGTTGGCTGTTTCTGTGCCATTAAATGTATTCTAGGACAGTTTAAGCAGACATATGAGCAGGGCCTTTCTGCACACTGCTGTCTCTCTACCCACTGATGTCTAACCAACATATGATGGACGATGTTATCTGACAGTGTTACCAGCTAATACTGGCCTGTTGCCGCTGTATTGGTGTGTATTTTGTAAGTAAGACTTCCTGTAAAACTATCACAGAGCTAGCACAGACAGATCCACGTATACCTACAGCCACTTTATAATCACTGCGTGTCTCAGGTTAATGGATGTAAGGTTAATGGATTCAGTTTTACTCCCCATTTGCAGCTCATGCTACCCTTTCAGTGGGTTCTGTATGGAATTACCCTTTCAGCATCCACCAGGTTGGCAGCAAGCCACTTAAGAGTTGAGTTAGATTTGGATTACATTTTAGCTGCATGCTTAAGAGTTCCCAAACAAAAGCTTTCAAATAGACTTCTTCTGCTATGAGATTTACATTAGCTGCTAAATGTGGCTGTGACTCAAACCACTTTCTGCTAGACTTTGTACTCTCCTGGCTGAAGTATTAACACTTTTCCATAAATTTGAACTTTTATTAATATTTATCAATTGAAATAACTAAAGGTTTTTATAAACTCTGTTGTCAGTTTTTTTGCATAGCAGCTTATGGGTCAGGTTGTAACACTCAGGATGTAAAATATCACAGAAAGACAATGCTACAGGCTTCAGTTAGCTTGTTAAGTTCATGACAGTACAATTAGAAAAAGACTAAAGTGTTACCGATTCTCTCTAGAGAATAGGGCAGCCTTAGGGTTTCAAAGTCCACTCCTCTGACTTAAATGCCGTCGTGGGACCACAAATCTCGATGAACTGAAGCAACATTGCAAAGAAGAGTGGGCCAAAATTCTTCCACGATGACAAACCCTACAAGTTATTGCTGCTAAAGATGATCTTACTTTTTTTTTTAAAGAGGAATTCGAGCTATTTCCTATTTTTTGATGATTTGATAGGCAAAATGTATCCATTATGCCTGAGCAAATGAAGCCCCCTATTATCAGAACTGGTTAAAGCAATATTGGTTATCTTCCTTTCGGATTTTTGGATTGCCAAAGTTGTAACTTTTTTTGTATTTGTTACAAATTACCCAAAATATCCAGCACACTAAGTCTCTATTTGGTATGACAGCAAAAATAGCAGTGCTGTGTTTATTTCCCAAGTCATTATTTTTTTTATTTTCTAGTGTCTGACTTCTGTAAGATCTTTAGTGACGACGCCCGTGATTATCTTCACCGTTGAAAATAAAGCTGACATGTGCTCCAGGGAGGATTGGCTAAGTAGGTCTGTTTTGTTTTGATGACTCGCTCTGAAGTTTATGTGGAATTATCACTGATTGCAGACAAAGACAGGAAGGGACCTCTCCTCCTTGGTGATGCTGAAATTAGGATCAAGGTCAGCGGTGGCTGTGGAGTTAATAATTTTAGCTATCAGAGCAATTAAGTACAACCCAGATAAAGAAACGACAAGCAGAGTGGTTGATACCTGATGTAAGAAGGTAAAACGGATATCAGAGGATGGAAACTATTTGATCCTTTGCTGGTTTTGTCTTTTGTGCAGCTGAAATGTTATTGTTATTGAGTTGTAAAAGTAATATCATAATAATCTCTTAATAACAGCCTCGGTATGTGAACAGATCTTTTAATCCTTCACCTCCTGCTGTGAGCTCATTGTTGGATGAAAGTAGATTTTAATTTAACCTTAACAAGCTCGCAACACAGGTTTGATTTACACCTCTTGCGTCTCATCATTGTGCATACCTATACAGTTGCTAGCATTTGCGCAAGTGGAGGCACATTTTTAGACCCTTCACAAAATTAATTTGACTCTTGAAAATTAAAATGCTGCACTAAATCAAAATGTTCCCAAGTCTCTGGAGGCATAATTACTGTACTGGCACATACGCCATGTGGAGAAACCGTATCATCAAATATCGACTTAACACCAGTGTGAGACACTTGCGGTTGGTGTCAGGATGCTGCAGCGTCTGCTTCACTGTTCTGCCACCCTCCTTTAGCTTATGATTTAGTAGGCAAATCTCCAGAGAAATGCAAGCAAATGATCGCTCAGTGTAACTGAGACAGACGTAATTAATGGCTCAGTGTTCACAAGCTTCTGCAGGAATATGCATGCCAAAAAATTACAAATTGTCCCCCAAGTGAAATACTCCACTGACGCTGTGTTAAATTGCTGCTGTCACTGACCTTGGACTAAATATTTCACTTCAGGTAGAGCTTATCTGGACTAAGTCTTTGGGAGCTTTTAGTGAGATAAAACAATAAATCACCTAAAGCACTATGTTTGGGTCCCTTTTTGTATTTAAATGAATATGCAGGAATCAGCCAGGTCCAATCAGGAGGATTGACAGAGGTGAGGCAGTATGTGAGAAGAACTCACATGTGTGCGTGTGGGTGTTTTTGTTGAGGTTTAAAGGGGATTAGAAGTGAATCAAAGGTGATCAGTGAATGTCGTGACAATGGGATTCTTCTGTTAACTCAGATAATTCAACAGAGATACTGTTAATTAAAGCGTTTTCACCTCCATCTGCCAGCCTCATTCACACAAACTGTCCCTTCGAATGTAGTGTACACCTCTGTACACTACATTCGAAGGGACAGTTCTGCTTTCACTTGCCTTTAACCCAAACCTTAACAACCAACGACCTTCCACTCAGTCTAAACCAAAAGTTAGCATTAGTATATAGGCAAGTCTTATTTCTCTCACACAGTGCATTGATGGGCACTGTGTCTCAGCCACTACAAAGACACCTCAACAAATTTATTATGTTAACTGGATTTGCTAAAAATTACAATATTTTTTGTACATTTACTTCTATTGTGAGAACAAACTGGCTTAGAACGATGAAGAAAATCTGAAGGAAATCAGAGATAAATTAACACAATACTGGTTTTCATTAAAAGCTCTGTATAAAAAGAGTCATTGTATTTTTTTTTTTGGTTAAAGCTTGTACAACAAAACTGACAGGTCAGGCAAACTGGTTTAATTAAACTAGCTGCATACTGGAGCCTTCTGTGACGTAGATACTTGATGGAGGGCGCTTTAAATCAAAGTGGCGTTGATCAGTAGAAAATATTAGTTCTAAGATTCAGTAACCTGGATCTGCAACAACAAGCTATATAAAGTGAGGATGGCAGGTGAGACAAATTGTCACATGTAGGGCACCACCTGTCTGAGAACCATAGGGGTTATGACAAAAACTAGAAAAATCCTTTGATCCTGAAAAAGATCTTTGAAGACTTCAGGACTGGCAGAAACATCCAAACTTTCTCAGAAAGTACATTAATCGGCAGTAGCTACCCTCTGCCATAGGATATTGAGGTGTCCAAGCCCACTGTGAGACATAATCTCAACAGCATGTCCTGTGTTTGCCCTAGGATGTCTGGAACTCCTCACCTAGGCGGCACAGTGCTTGATTTATGGAGAAGCAGGAGTCAGTTTGACTAAGCCCCACACACCCTCATTTTCACTTTTGTCTTTCCATAATCAAAAGGTCTGCATTTGTTAAGAATGTTGCCGGTAGAGATTTTGCCTACACTGACACAAAACCAAACATATTTGCCCTGGCTGAATCGTACATTGGCATTTAAACAGCTGTGTCTAACCCCATCCTATCCCAGTTCCAATTTTAGACCCAAAACTGAGTCTTGAAACAGCCCTGTGAAGAAATTAGGACTCCACTTAATGCCCCAGTTTCTGAAACATTCACACTTTTACTTTGCCTTGTTCACAGATAGTCATAGTTTGTACTGCTAGTAAAGAAACTTGTAGAAATAACATAATCTTTATCTTTACTCAAGAGCTCCAAACTTAGCCTTAGCTACGGTAGTTCCCAGATGGACTTAAAACGTTTTTTTTTCCTGTAAGTTTGTCTCAGAATGCTGTATGAAAAAGTAAGACAAAGAAAATATATGTAACCCCCCAATTCTTAAAGTTAAAATGGGTTTATCCCACCTTATCTAAACCTAGCGGTCATAAAGTGCAACTACTTTCCTTGAGGGAAATCAGCATACACACAGTGTCTTACCCACTCACACATATCAGGTCTAATTTGTGTGACTCCTCAGTGGTTTTCATCATACTGAGGTTTCATTGTCTTAGCCATAGCAGCGGTAATTAAGTTTGAGGGAGGCTGTTTGATGGGATTGAAAGATGTGAAATTGCCTCTCATGAGTTCTTGCAGAGTGCTAAATCACAAAGCTACTGTACTGTGTGTGTGTGTGTGTGTGTGTGTGTGTGTGTGTGTGTGTATGTGTGTGTGCTCACGTCAAATCACTCCCTGAAGTCTAGTTCCTATTAATTGAGCACCAGTCAGCATTTACACTCTCAATCTTCAGTATTAATATTCTGCCAATACGGTTCTTTCTGTAAGTTTGATAAACTGGCTGCCAACTTCATCCTGGCATTGCATTACAACATAAGGCGAAGTTCACTTTTCTATACGGATGTGCCTCTTAAAGCCTCTACATTGCTTTAAATATGAATGTACTACACTTACCTTTTTGCAATGACCAAGCAACATGTCATTTTAAAGGTCTGTCTTCAGTAGCATACCTTACCTCATAATAGTACTCAACACACTCTTAACAGCTCATCAAATATAGAACAGGTGGATTTTCATTTACTCAGGTTTCATTCCATTTAGTTAATGACTGACATTAAAGGGCATTTGCCCAGATATTTAGATCTTGAATGTTGAAGTTTGGACTTGGGCTAACAATCCTATCATTCAAAAAACTTAGTGAGAGTGAAAAAAAAAACCCATCTTCCTCTATTTATACTAGCTAGCGAGCCTTGTGGCAGTCTTTGTAATGAGTGATCTTTTAACTTGTAAATAACAAAGACATTATCTATAAATTATTTTTATCACCACAAAAATAATTTATAGATAGTAAGATAATTTTGTAAAACAATGTTTTAGTCATTAACCTGACCTGTCCAGAGCCCAAGAACTCCTCCTTAGGACAGCTCTAGAAACTATTTTGTAAACTCTTAGTTGCTCTTTATTCTTTTTTCTTCCCTTTTCTAAAATAAACATGCAAAATATTTGAGCACAACACAGACTTTTTTTAATCAATATTAAAGTTTCGTTGGTGAACTTGTGACCACACATGATTGACTGACTGTATATAAAGGTGAGGATAAAATAATTACTCCACAATGAAACAGAGCAACATATTTTTAACATAACCCCTGATAACCTGAACTTCTATTGAGCAAAAGCACAAGCCACTGCCGTGCAGTGATGTGCTTTAACTTTGTAATGCTCAAAGCTTGCAAAATCAAGTTAAAACTGAGCATCATCTTCCAGTTTACACACAGTACAAAAACTTCAGCAGGAGTTTGAGCTGCCACTTGAGAAAGCATCATGCCAAAAACAAAAGAAATCAGCTTAGACAACAGAAAAAGAATTGTTGATGCTTACAAAGCAGGAGATGAATTAAAAACCTTATCACAGAGTTTCCAAATGTCAAGAACTGGAATGAGAAGTTTCATCAAAAAAATCAAAGAGAGCTACACTGTACAGAATAAGCCCGGCAGAGATAGGAAAGAAAAGAATTTAGACTTTGGAAAGAAAACTATTGAGAAAAGTGTCTAAAGACCCCAGAACAAATGCTGAAAACAGTAATGAACGATTAACCAAGTCAGGACTTTTGATCTCACAATCATGAGAACCTTAGACAGAAATGGACTGTGAGGTTACAGACCAAGAAAAAAAGAGCCCAAGAAGAAGAGACACTTTCCAGCCAGACTGAAATATGCTATGGAAACTTGAACAAAGATGATGCATACTGGACATACACGTCAGATGAGATGTAACTAGTTTTTTTGCCACAGAGACACTGCGTATGTTTGAAGCAAGGAATCTTTTTTTTTTGGAAGTACAACCCTAAAAAACAGTGCGCCCAGTGAAACATGGTGGGAGTATTATGCAGTAGGGAAGCTGCAGTGCATCTGAATCTGGGAATCCCACCAAGGTTGAAGGATAATCATCAAAAAAAAAAAGACGTGTGAAGATCCTAAAGAAAACCTCAAAGAATTGGCAGCAAAACTGGGTCTGGGTCATCGCTTTGTCTTCCAACGTAATCAATACACACCTCAACCCTGGTGAAGAACTACCTCTAGACGACCAAACTGAACAAAACCCCCCGACTTGAATCCAACTGGAAATCTGTGATGTGAACCAGAAGACCATCGCAGACCATCAAGGCATGTGTAAGACGTGCCGAAAACTACAATAAACGGCTGCAGGCCGTTATCTAGCAAAAAGGATATAAAATTGACTAGTAGCAGTCTTAACCCTGGTAGTTTTTGGTTTTTGTGGTATAATATTGTTTCTGTGTGCCAAGTAATATATTTTAAGTGTCCAAAATAAAAATAGAATGTTTAAAAAACCTGTGTTAAGAATTCTTTGCTCTGTTTAAAACAAAAAATAATAATACAGGGCCTAATAATTCTGACTCCATTTGTAAAAGATCGTCATACCCGTGGTGTTGACGTCCACTTGAGATTCTAAATATTAAAACCTCAACATTATCATTAATCAAAATACTAGAATTTCAGTCATCAAAACTGAACCATAAGCATCTTGGGTGGGCTGTAGCTTACCACAGGCTATATTATTTGTGAGCTAGTTCAATTAAAAATTCTACAAAATGCACCAATATCACAAATACAGCTCCAGCTGTCTGAAAACTTGTCAGAGTGGCCACTATCCACATGAATGAGTTGAATAAAAATATTTCCCCTCTGTATAGTTGTTTTAAAGGTGGAAAGTAGCTGTAGAGGCCAAAACTGTTTGTGTGCAAGACTGTAAACATGCTGTTTTTAATGGGAAGTTTTAACATATGAGTTTATGGGGATTGACCTGGAAGCTGGTCTCAAGTGGCCATTAGAGGAACCGCAGTTTCACTGAGTAAAAGTCAGATGTGTCATGCCATTTGAAGTCTCTGGTCTGCTAGTTATTTAGGTTTAATATTCAAGCTCATTTAGATACTATATTTAGGCTTAGAACTATATTTATCAAAGCTGCATTTATCAGCTGGTCTTTAATGATGTTTGAAAACAACCGTCTGCAATGTCTGAAAGCAGGGAAAGTAAACCGAAAAGAGTTGTATGACAGCACAGACCATCAGTCTTTTCATCAGTGTCATTTAAACTGGGGGTAAATTATAATTTTATTATTTCCTTCTGTAAAGATGTTAGAGGTTGGTTGTTGTTCTTCTTAACCTACCCTAACAGAGCTTTCTTTTGTGGATTTGACTCTCCTATAGGACTTAACCAAGCAGCTGGACGAGGTGACCCAGAACTCGGAGATTGTGGAAATCCGTCAGAAGGAGGCTGAATGTGAACTAGAGGCAGCCAGAGACCGAGTTCAGCAGCAGGCAACTGAAATACTTCTCAAAGCCAGTAAGACCCACAATCTCTTCCCTTTCTCTTTTCATGAGACCTGTGAATTCTTGTGTCTGCACTAGACTCAAGATGCACTCTATGCTTTCCGTGCAAACACATCAAACATATCGACTAACAGCTCCCCTCATCTTGTCTGAGACATCGTTGCCTGTTACACTTTAATAGCATATCGCTGTATATCGGGGCTAATGGTGTTCCCGGTCCCTCAGAGGCTGCTAGAAGAAGCCTTGCTGACGACAGTGCCCAGTTTGTCTGTGTTTATGTGCACATGTAAATGGCTAAATAGGTGTATGTTAGAATCTGGTCTAATATCTTATGATGTATTTCCATCACTACTTAACAACATTGCATAAAGATTACTGTCTGAAACGTGTGAGCAATCGCGACCACTTTGGTGCGGAGTCATTCTCGGCCCATTAGCTCCAATGAGTTCGTTGTACCCAATGAGAGCGTTTTATCACTTTCCACTGGAGCTGCTTGCATGTTAGAGACAAATAAGATCCAGCTGGTAAATGCAGCCATGGGAGTCTCATTTACCACACTACAGATCAGAGGACCTCTCAAGGTTGTTTGCAAAGAAATGACCATGAGTCCTTTTTGCCTTTTAACGTGCCTTTTGTTTTTTAAGTTATAGCTGTAAGAGGTAAATAAATATGTCAGAGTGGTAAATTTCAACTTACCATCCTTCAACAATTACTAAATGTGTAGTCTTGAGTTTAAGTTTTATGGTTTGTATGTCCAGAAATGTCCAGCACATTTTCACTCCCAGCTCACATACAGATGCTTGATGAGGACCCTTTCTTGCCACATTGGGTGTCCATTCATCCATACATTTTCCTAACAGCTTATCGAGTTAAGGGCCAAAGAGGGGCTCAAGCCTGTTCCAGCTGTCACGGGGGAGAGACAGGGTCACTAATCCATTGCAGGGCTATCATAGTGACAAAAATAACCTTTCAGACTCTTACTTACAGCTAATTTAGAATCAGCATTTAAGGCCTCTCACAATCACAAAGACCAATCAGTTACTAACTGGCTACCACCAGTTGGGTAACAAAAATGTTTATTTCCAAACTGGTTGGTGGCTGCTGCCAAGTGAAATCGGTCACAAAAATGGCTGCAACAAAAATTTCTTGTGATTGATTTAATGGCAAGCAGTTTGACACGATCACCTGTAGTTCACAGGGAAGATGGAAACTTATCTTCAGAGAGTTGTTATTTACTCTCCAAGTTCTAGTGAAACTCAAAAAATGTGTGAAGCTTTCTAGAAACTGAATTTGTGCCTCATCGCTGCAACTAACACATGTGAAAAAACACAACTTTTACTTCCTGTTTTGCATTGTACTTTAACAGTTTCACTACTGCTCTGGGAATAGTTTTAATAGTCTTTGTGGGCATGTCAGCATTTTCATTGCTAACTACTGGAGAATGTAGCAAGCCCCTAGAGATCAAAGCAATCTCAAGCAGGTTTTCAGTGAAGAACTGTATAGCTCTGAAGTACCCAGAGAACCCACATGACAAAGCAAGAGAATGCTAGCTCCACATAGAAAGGCCCCAGGGAGTTGTAGACCTTCTTTCTATGAGTTAGGGTCAACTATGGCACAATCGCAAAACTGAAACTTTTTGACAGCCCCTCGTTGTAGCTGTGTTGGCAGCATCAATAAGAACCAGCAACATGCTGATTGCATCAGTTGAATATTTGCATTCTTCTCGCCTCTGCTCTGCCATAGGTCAGATAAGCAGTCTGCAGGCCACCCAGATGACCCAGGAAGCAGCCATCAGAGACCTGGACAACGAGCGGAATAGGCTGAAGGACAAGGTGGTGCGGATGGAGGAAGAGAGGGAGGCCCTTCAGAGCCAGGGCCAAGCACTGGATGAAAGACAGAAACAGCAGCTCCAGGCCCTGGAGAAGGTGCGTGTGTGTGTGATGGTGAAGTGTTTTGTATTCATGTCAGACAGGAAGCAGCTCTGTTATGAATAACCAATAAGTCATCAAGATGCAGAAACTGATCTTTTTTGTAGTTTGCTTCACACCAGTTTAAAATACAAGGACTGTGAAGAAGGCAGTGCCCATACTTTTTAGTGTAGTGGTCCAATGTCGATGGAGTTAAGCAGTAATAAGTAATACCTACTGACATCAGGTTTTCACATTAGGGTTACTTTGGTAGAAAACAAATTGTACCCAAAACGTTATTGTGAAACCCCAGCATGAAGCCTTGGTCTCCTGTATTTTTTTGTATTTATGTGCATTTTAAGTAGTGAACTTGTCTCTCCTGACCATGTGACCAGGATCAAGCAAAAGTAGATTTAAACGTAGACTCTAGTAAAGAGCCGTCCAAATTCGTTTTTCCAGTTTTCTTTTGCGTGCTTCTCTTAGTTTGTGATACTGACTGTACAGACGAGACTGTAATCCCCATGTAAGGCTGATGTATTTCCCAAACCAAGTCTTTACAGAAGTAAAAAGAGCACTTGATTTTAATTATTGATGTATCTGGGAGAGTTGTACTTGTAGACGAAGTCAGATTTTTAGATAAGAACATGTAGATTTACAGTATGCATAAATAGACAAGTTCACTACCCTGTCTATCTTATGTTAGTTATTTTGGCATATTTAGTGCATTGCAGAGGAATTCCTAGGGATTAAGAAGAAAATGAATCGTAGGTCTGCAACAAAGTTTAAAGCATGTCATCTGTGCAAGATGACCTGCAGTCGTCAAACAGTTGAAAGGGTCAAACCTGTCGATCACAGCTTTTACAAACTCTGAAAAAAGGACAGCTGCTCCTCTTTTTAAAAAGCGGGACTCTTAAAGGTCAGATGATTTAAGCAACAGCGTAGTCAGCAGACCAACCGCAGCCGATAGTAAATGTCAAGTGTTGCAGCCTCATGTGTGTTTTCCCATCCTTTTATATCTGACATTTGTGCAGTGTAATCCTCTGGGAGCTGAAAGACTTCTCCCACTGAGTGTGGTTGCTGTGAATTTAGATGTCTTCCCAAGGATAATGGAAGATCTCAGATCACTTAAACTTCATGCCATCTTTCTTCTATGGCTGAAGCTAAATTTCCAAACCTTTCAACACTGATTCATCATTATAAATTGGCTCTTGATGAAATTTATGCAAACTCCACTAAATTTGTTCCCATCTGACCTCGACGGGTTCAGTTGATTTATTAATGTAAAATAACTTTATTTATGCTTAATGAAATTTTACCTTCACGCTATGAATGTTTTTTGTATTAAAGGCCCCAGAGAGGTGGGTTGAATTTTTTCCAATGCATTTTTGTGTCACATAGTCTACATGTTTTCTCATCTGAAAAAACACATTGAAAACTTTTATTTATGTTGCGTGAAGTCACAACAACAGTTGCCTCAAAGCTCTCCTATAACAATACTGTCACAGAACACTGAGTGTTCAGGTAACAGGACCCCAAAGCAGACTCAGCACACCGCAGCTTAGAACTATGTACACGTTTTTATTGAACTGAAGAATCTTTTAACAACGTTAAGGAAACGAAAAACTAAGGCTCATGCCACGGGGGGAAATGAGGAGTTAGTTAGTAGTGTAATGGAGAAATTACACTGGTGTTTGTATTATACTTTGGACATATCACCTCGATCAAAATGCAGTTATAGGGTCTCAGGACCCCCAATGGAGCAGCAGATCAAAGTGCTGCACTGAATATGAGTGTCACAGTAATTGGCTGTTCCCCTCTAAAGTTTAGTAAAGTGAGTAAACAGAACATACCATGTAATGCCAAAAGAAAACAGTCACAAGCTGAACGGGCAGTGAAGCAAGAAATTGGGAAGAGAGCATTCCCATCTGCAGTAATTTATATTTGGCGGTGCAGCTCTGTTCAGGGACCTCTTCACCCTTTACATATGAAAGCCAGTGGCGAGGAGGGCTGCAGCAGGACCAGATAGGGAAACGGTGCCAACAGATGAGACACTGACCAAGTCAGTTAAAACATGAAAGGATAATTGACTGAAGTTATAAGGAGCTAATTTACTTTTTCTGCTACACTGAGACAGAGCTCGGTTGAAAAGTGGCTTGAAACCGAAAACAAAACAAAAACAGTAAGAACCATTCATAATCAGCTATAG